TTGCTGTTTTTAATTCCAATGATTAATAAATGTTCTTTATACTCACAAGCTGAATGAATGATTAATGCGAATGAAATAATTACATAATAGTAATTGTAAATAAGTATTTATGTTCTTGATTTGTGAACTTGCTTTGTGTTTTTAATTCCAATGATTAATAAATGTTCTTCATACTCACCCACTGAATGGATTATTAATGCGGATGAAATAATTACATAATAGTAATGGTAAATAAGTATTTATGTTCTTGAGTTGTGAACTTGCTTTGCTGCTCAAAATTCCAATAATTAATGTTTTTTACACTTACTCGCATACTAAATGATCCCTAATAATTATTAAAATTGGATGAATTATTAAAATTGTATAAAATATTCAAACTTTTTAAAATAATAAAAAAATTAGAAAATTAATTAACTTTTTAATCCATTCAAGATATTTACTACAATTTTTTTCTACGCCAATTCCGTAAAAGTAACACCAAGCGGTTTTCCAAATTCCATTGGAATTACCTGCTTCTGCTGATTTCAAATAATTTTCAAATGCTTTTTTTTTATCGCTTTCAACTCCAATTCCTAAATTATAACAATATCCAACTTTATAAATTCCGTTTGAATTATTCAGGTCTGCGGATTTTTGGTAGTAACGGAATGCTTCGTTTTCATCCTTTTCAACTCCAATTCCAAATTCGTAACAATAACCAAGCAAATAAATTCCGTCTGGTTCATTTGCATCTGCCAATTTTTTGCATTCATCGAAATTTAGTTGTTTAAAATCGTTATTAATTTGTTTCATTTCGATTTAAAAAAAAACAAAAAAAAATATAAACAATACTGCAGACGTACTGACAATTTTTATTTGCAATGGCGACGGTTGTATAATCTTCTTAAATTGTGCTGGCGCACTTTTGCACAGAATTCGTCTTACAGAAAAAGTATAGCTGCATACTGTATAATATGCGAAAAAAAATTGTGTAGGGTATGACCTTGCTTTCAAAAAAAAAATTAAAAAAATTAAACAGAAATTAATATAGCATTATTGTCAAATTAGTTATAGAACTGTGTCATAACTAATATTATTTGATATGGGTAATTCTTATTTTTTAATCTATTTATTAAAATTAATTAATACAAAATTAAAAATTAGTTGTTATATTTTAAACCAAAATTTTATGTACCCAATATTGGTGTTATCTGACTATTTATGATCATGGCACAATCCACTACCCCCTATATATAGCTTTTAGATCTAAAAAATGATAATCATATATAAAAAAAAAAGATCTCTTTTTCTCTTTTGTCTGGCGCAGTGCTTTTTTTTCTGTTACAATACTTTTTTTAAAAAATTTTTTTTTTACCTTTTAATATTGTAAAAAGTGTTCCGGAAGCTGTGCCAACTTTGTAATGCCGAAATCAAGGTTGAACCCAAAAGCCAAGCCCAAACAAGGTGATGTGGAGACGAATGCCATATCATCTGGAAACAAAAATGTAACAAATGAAGCCATTCCAACTGTGATCAAAAGCATCAGGACAGATAAAGCGAAAAGAAAAGCCATTCCAACTGTGATCAAAAGCATCAGGACAAATAAAGCAAAAAGAAAAGCCATTCCAACCGTGAAGAGTAGTATGAACAGTAATGATAGGTCAAATGTGACCAGTAATGTTGAAATTGAAGATGGTGCGACTAGTAACGTCAAAATTAAAAGTAGTTTGAAGGAACCCTCTTCAATAAGCAATAATGTAACTTTTTTCTAGTTTTTGAACTTTTGTTCATTTACCAAAAAAAAAAACTAATATGTAAATATGTAACTTAGCGAGTTAGGTATACCAAACCTACTTTTGGCGAACTTGAAGCCATTTGTGGGGATACAAGGGTACAAGCAACACATAAAGCAACAGAGGTTTGGGTTAAGGCCCTTGAAGAATTTCGTCTATGAAGGCAAAATCAAGGAAATCGATTTGAAGGATGTTCTTGAAGACCAACTGTCAAAATTCGTGTGTGCTATGAAAAAAAAGGATGGTGGTGAATACCATGCATCCTCAATCCGTAACTGTATGGCTGCGATTTGAGGGCACCTCAATCAATATTCAGTGATGCCGAAGCCTTAAAAATTTTGAACCCTAAGATATTTTTTGATTTGAATACCATCGTTAATGGTAAATTGAAAAATCTAGCTGCAAAGGGTCTAGGTGAACGTGCTGGGTCAGATGGGTTGATCTTGCAAGAAGTTAAGCAAATTCTCTCCCACCATACTATACAATATGATAATCCAGAAGGGCTATTGCAGCAAATGTTTTTTTATAATTCGATTCTTTTGGCCCTGCAGGGCGGTGAACATTATGACCTTCAGATAAGTAGCTTTGTGAAAAGGCTTGATGGAGGAATAGATGTGAAACTGTATAGATCAAAAACGAATCAACGAGGACTTGGAGATTATGACAGTCAAGCTGAAGTCATCAGTTTACCAAATATCAAAAGTATAATTGATAACTATGAGTTCTATTTCATTAAGCGTCTAGTTACGGTGGTGTCAAATTTTTATCTGAAACCTATGTTGGCAAGCTTGTGTAAGCATCTATATTAATATTAGTATTTTTTTTATTTCTTTATACTAATTTTTTTTTTTTATAAGTCAAATTTTGTGGCCAATGGTTCTACAGTCAAGTGATAGGTGAAAAAAAATTAAGGACGTACTTTTAGGTTATTTGTGAAGCTACAGATATACAGTTTGGAGGTCACAATTTGACAAACCATTCAGGAAGAAAAACAGCAGTTTAAGTGCTAAAGGAACTTGGCTATTCTGATGCTGTGGTCATGTCTATTATGAGACATAAGTCACAGAAGGGCCTGGCTTCATACAAACAACCGAAGTCTATCATGCAGCAGGAGGGTCTTAAGGTTTTTTAAAGGCATTGACATTTATAAATAAAAATGAAGAATCACTCAAAGGTATTTATTAAATTTCCAATTTAAATTTTTTGTAACAATTCGATTTATTATTAAAATTTTTTTTTATTTTTAGAAAATGAAACACCGTCAAATGGCGATTTTATTTTGCAAGTTCTTTACTTAAAAGGAGAAGCTCAATGGTATTACTTGCAAGTGGTATCGATAAGCTTGAAGTATCATCAAATGACGAATTTAAACACCAGGAGCAATCACCAACTATGATGAACCACCAGAAGGCAACACTAATGACCCGCCAAGAGCAACTACAAATGACTTGTCAGAAGCATCCACCAATGACCTGCTAGGAGCATCCACCAATGACCTGCCAGGAGCATCCACCACCAATAAGCCACTGCAGCCACAAACACGAAATTTGTTAGGCGAAATTGAGCCACGAAACATTCGCCGGAAAAATGCACAAAATGAAGAATGGGAAAATGCACAAAATGAAGGAAATCAAAAGGAATTTATTGAAAATTCCTTACTGAGAATACATTTAATAATTGTGTTTCATTTTTAATTTCTTGCAAATGTAAATTAAAAATTAGTATTTTAATGAAAAAAAAAAATAATAATAATAAATATAATTACTTAGCTTGTATTGAAATTGCATACAATTATTTATAATATTTGTATAAAACATGAAAAGTTGGCATTTAATAGTACAAAACATAAATGTTTGGCATTGCATCATAATCTTGCCAAAAATATCAAGACATTGCTGTGCCATGATCATATGAGTTGATCAGATAATATTAAAAATATTGGATTAATTTAGGTTTATTTCTGAATATACAACAAAAAAATTTGGCTTAGTTGTACTGAAAATAGAACGTTTTTGAAGATTTCATAGAATATAACTTGAAAGGCTTTTATTTAACTTACTTGGCTTCAGCTAATAACAGAATTATGAGAAATTTTAATTTGCATTTTATACTAACCAAAATATTTTGCTTATTTATTCAAGATTATAGCAATTTTTATTAAAATTTAGATACAATATGTATTTAGTAATCAATATATATATGTTTAGAAAAAATTAGATTTGTTTGATTTATTTGATTATTTTATCAACAGTTCATTTCACTGATATTTTTTCTTAAAAATTATAAGCCTAACCCTAACAATAATAATTTCTTGCATGTGATTAATAGTTTTTTTTTTAGTTTAAGTTGGTTTATATTATTATTTTCTGGCTTAGACATTGGTTTGATATTATTAGCATTTAAGAATTATCCTTTAATTTTACCTTGGCTACTCTTGTAAGCAAATAGTTACAACTGTGTTAATATATCTAATATGTAGTAAATTGTTCTTTTAAATCAGAAATTATATATTATTAAACCAATTTAATATAATATTTAGAAATTTTAGCAATTTTCAGTCTCAATTTACAACAAATTTTTATAGCTAGATCATTATTAAATTCATAACTATTTAAAGCTTTTTTTCTTGTTAATATTTCTATCATAATAATTCTGAAACTAAATATCTAAAGCTTTCATAAATTTTTAATGTGATAAAATTTCTGGTGCTATATAAAACAAAACCAATATACTTCTTTTTCATACTAAAAATTCTTAAACTATAATATATACATTATCTAATTTATTTTACAAAATATTTTTACTATAAAGATCTTAATGTTCTAGTCTTTGTAAACAAATTACTTTAAGATCTGATATTATACAACAATAAATTGAATTTTTTTTATTTTATTTATAATACTTCTTGATGCTTATTGTGCAAAGATTTCTTTTCATCATATTAAATATATTTTTTTAAATTATCTCTTAATAATTTATAGCATCTTAAAAATGATAAATTTTTATATCTGAACTCGCAAAATGCTTTTAGCTTTAAAAAATATATTAATTTGTAATTTACCTATAAATGATAGTTTTATATAGTAAAAGTTGAGATTAATTTAATCTAAGTATTATAATATAGCTACTAATCTCACTTCACTCTATAGCAAAGTCTTTTTTCTACTAAGTCAACTAGAGAGGATTTGCAAATTATTGTAAGTAAATTTTATTATTAAGCTAAATTTAAAGAAATTTTATATATCTGTAAAATGTTTTTTAAAGATTTCTCAAAAACTACCTAATGTTTTTACCACTATTAGATGCATCTTGATGAGCTCTACAACTTAAGTTAAAAGCCCAAAGGTGATTTACTTAGTAAAAAAATTTTCTTGGATAAATGCCACATTTCTTTAAAAATCATCACATTTCTATCTATAGGATTTACATATAGAACCACATTGTGTTATACAATAATAATTTTTCAGTTTACTAGAGAATCATCAATTAAGCGAAGATATCTCAACAACAACCAAACCAAAATTGATGAGTTTTTTTTTATTTTAATTCTACAAAGCTGTTGAATTCAAATAAAAAAATCATCAAATTTGTCTTGGTTGTTAAGATATCTTTGCTCAAAGTTGAAGAAAATTTGATCTATAAGTACAAATAACAAAATTGGGGGTATGAATATCAGCCATATTTTATTTTTTTGGCACAAATAAGTCGGCAATCTGTAACACTGCAATTCTAGGATTTTTTAAACATTAATACGGTAATATTTACGTTAATACATATTAAAACCAATATATCTAAATTTTTTACTTCGCATCACGTTGATGTTACTCGTATTGAATATTATCATAAATATACTATTGCAACAAATATATTACATCAAATTTATTATCTACCGGTAATATTTATTAGTGTAAAATACATATCAACGTAAACAATATATAAACGACTAAAACTTCTTTTATTTATATTTAAAAATTAAAGTTTATGATTGATGTAAGAAATAAATCGTAAAATTTCTCTATCCAGAGTGCTAGACAAATTTATATATTTTTGAGAATTCTAAAATATACTAGTGATCTCGATAATACAATTTCGTGTATCGTTATGCATTAAAAGTCATAATTATTTACTATTATTTGGCCATTATATAATGTTTTAATGAAGTACTATTATTTAAAAATTAATTCCGAACTTCTTGCACATAGCAATAGCATTGTGTTGATCTTTCTTAGCAGCCATTTTTAAGTACTTTGAACCAATTTCCTGATCTTTAACTACACCTTTTCCAATCCAATAAGCACTTCCAACATTATACATAGCTGTAGGATTTCCATTATCAGCAGCTTTTATTAGATATTTCATAGCCTCATCCCAATTGACTGGAACACCATCGCCTTGCCATAAACAGAAACCGTATCGGAGTTGAGCCTCAACTTTACCACTATCAGCGGTTTCTTTAAACCACTTTGCCGCACGCTGAAGATTTTCTTGTCGATTATCCTTATGCTCAGGAAGAACAGAATGATATAGATAGTAACCAACCCAGTATTTTGCAGTTATGTCACCTTGTTCAGCAAATTGACTGAAACATTCCCATGCTCTTTGTTTATTACCATCGGGTTTTCGGTACTCTTCGACTGCTTGCTCCACAGTCATAAAACTATCATCAATTACAAACTCTTCAAATTCATCAATAGATAGTTGAGGCCTTTTTTCGTCTTTATGGTGATAATCAAAAAGAACTGTAAATATTTTAGAAATTGTTGGTCGAAAATCTGGAACATGGCCTAAAGCTAAATAAATAAATATATATTATATTAGTATATTTAATATTTACAGTTTTAAAAATTAATTTTAAAATTATAATAATAATAATACCTGCATATATAATGTCCTGCCAAACTTTGGGTACATCTGAACTAAATTGTTCACGATATTTCTCTTTTACAACACGGTCTCGAATGGTCTGCAAATCTATTCCTTCTCTTGTATAAGGTATTGCTTCTTCAGCAATTTCCCATAGAAGAGCTCCCAAACTAAATATTGACGTTTATTCAAATTAGAATAACAATAATTTGATAATATTTTAAGTTATCGTGCAAACTCTTATGATCATAGATTTTTTTCTTCTTGTTATTTTTTGTACGTTATTATATAAGCACAACAATCCCGAATTAAAACTCAGTTAGCCAACCACGACTCGTAAATCATGATCATAATTGCATGATAACATCGATATTGGATCATGCAACGATTAATATCACAAAATTTGTTCTGTCGGAGCAAATGATTGGATGAAACGTGCCGCTACGCGGCACATCCAATCATTTGCTCCGACAAAACAAATTTCATGATATTAATCGTTGCATGACCAATTATCTTATACATATTGATAATACATACCTATAAATTTCACATTTTACAGTATATCGTCGTTTATCACCATGTTCTAATTTCTCAGGAGCCATATATCTTACATTCTCAAGATTTACTTGAATATTTCTAGTAATGTCTCTAAACTTACGACTTAAACCAAAATTAGCAATTTTGGCCTTGTGATTACTGCTTATTATTATATTCGCGCCTCTAATGTCGTGGTGTAAAATCTATGAAATATTAACATTAGCTATATGATAATTTAATATAGCATAAATGATTAATATTTGAATAGAAATTTTGTATACCTCTACAGCATTTAAGAAAGCAATTCCACGACAAATATCAATAGCAAATTCAAACTTTTTATTCCAATCCAATGTATGTGCCTTGTAATATTCCTGTAAAGTACCATTCTGCATCCATTCTGTCACCAAATAAAATTTTAAGCCATCACTAGATTTTGCTATTCCATAGAATTTAATAATGTGTTCAGAATTTTTTAATTCTTTCAGAATAGCAACTTGTTGACCAATTTCCTTTTCAGTTTGCTCATCATTGATCTGAGGAATTTCTTTAAATGCATATTCTAAGAGGAACGTATTATTCCATCTACAATGAATGGTTTTACTACTACTACGGGGCTCAACGTCATATTTAGGTTCGTAATCGTCTAAATTCAGGAAGGGAGTAGGCTCGATTGAGGTTTCAGTGCCTTTACGTTGTTCCCGTTGATAACGAACGTTTAACTCTCTAATTCTTTTGATATCTGTAAAGGTATTTTCGTCTGGACCAGTTTTACCATCGGACATATCAAACATGAACTAAAATGGATGTAATAGATGTTTATATAAGTATGAGACGGATAAATTATAATCAACACGAAAAAAATTATATATAACACACCTTTTTCATTTCAGCCAAATCTTCTCTAATAGATTTGAGTTCAAACTCTAAATCAACATTTCCAAAATTATGACTTATATTTTGAACAATCTTATGAGTACTCCTATAAGTAGCTTTGCTCACGGCGGAATTTAAAGATGCCATATATATTTCAAATCTATCCGACAAATCCTTATACTTTTGTATAATATTACCAGATT